AAACATGGAGGTGTGGCTGTACCTCTGCTTTTTCTGTCTGTGTTTGTCAGCAAATACTCGTGAGCATTGATGGAGTCTCAGCTTGACTTTCCAGAGCCCAGGCCCCCCCCCCCCCCCCCCCCATGGAGCACAGATGATACTTCTTCTAACTACACCTACAGGATAGAGATCCAAAGTCATGGTTCCTCCTCTAGAAACCAGACATCCAGTGTCACCAGAGCTGTTATTACAGACATAAACCCTGGAACCTTCTATAATGTCACTGTATTTGTAGGCGTAGCTGGCAGTGTTACTGAAGGGAAAGAAATATTTATAAAATGCAGTAGAAATAAGTCCCAGACACTCACATCTATCTTTTAACCAAATCTGTTTCTTCTAGTACACAATTGTGCTTCTCCTTAGTTTCTTAAAATAATACCCCTTTTTAATAACAAAATAATTTAGTCCATGAGCCTTTTACCCCTGTATTTGGAAGTACTAAATACTTCTTCATCAAGAGAGGAAATAAATTTGCTCTGTTACATTTGTAGAAGTTATAAGAGTTTTGGTCTTGAAGGCTAAGTTTTATAAGATGTTTAGTTTAGAGGGACCTTTCTTCTCAGTGTTACTGCTATGTTAACTTTTTAAATAACTTTTTGTATCTGGTCATAAGGTTGCAATTTTTACATTGTGTCTTATAGGACTCTCACACAACTGACATGTTGTAGTTGCTGCTCTTAAGGGTGGCTACTGCTATGCTTTTAATGCACGGGGCTTATATTCGTTTTCTTATTTGTTGGCCACTAAGAGTTTTACCTAATTATACAAAGAGTTAGTTAACTTTTTAAATAACTTTTTGTATCTGGTCATAAGGTTGCAATTTTTACATTGTGTCTTATAGGACTCTCACACAACTGACATGTTGTAGTTGCTGCTCTTAAGGGTGGCTACTGCTATGCTTTTAATGCACGGGGCTTATATTCGTTTTCTTATTTGTTGGCCACTAAGAGTTTTACGTAATTATACAAAGAGTTAGCGTCAATCTACATACTACTTTAAAAATGTTCTTTGAGTGGTATGCTTAATGGTTGAACAGTATTTTGAAAACTTTGCTGATCTTGACAGACACTCAACCTAAATTTTCTGAGTTAAACCTGTTTGCAGAAGAGTTAGAGAGCACAGAAGAGGTCTGTGTATTTAATGTGCTAAATGCTTCTCTTCTTTATAGGGTAGCAAGTCCTTGTAGGCAGTAGTTTCATCTTTTTAAAAGTGGAAAGGAATACTGAAGTTTTACAAACGTTTGTACACAGAACTTACAAATAGACAACTTTTTCTATTTACTACAATACTTGATTTCTTACTCCTTTTTTTTCTCTTTTCTTTTCAGTTCCTGCCTCAGTAAATTTATTTCAGTGTGAACCAGTGGCCAAGCAGTCTTCCCTAATGCTTAAGTGGGAGTGTCCTTCTGGTAACAATTCTGGCTTCAAAATTAAAATATTTAAAAATACATGGGAAAAAGAAGAACGGGCTCCATCCTGCATGAGAGAAGGCTCAGAGAAAACCTTCAGAACAGCATCTTTAGATTATTTCAGCACCTATAATGTTACTATTGCAACTCTTTCAAATAGTTCTGAAAGCCCTCCAGTGCAGAAAATGTGTAATACGAGCATTACTGGTAAGCATTAAGATTTGAGAATGAAAGATATTCATGGAACCAAAATACTAACTTCATGGTTGCAGAATACCAGATTTGATATGCAGTACATTATCAGCCTACAGATTATGAATAAAACACTACATTCATGCAAAATCTAATGTGATGCACAATAAATATGCTTTACATGAACAGCATCAGTATTACAGCATTTTCTTGTTTGGAAAACTTTTCTTTATCAGTCATTAAGTTACTAAAAAATATTTCTGTTTGTAGACCCACCTGCTCCAAGCAAAGCTCCTTCAGTCAAGGCAGTCAGCCACAGCTCGTTGTCTGTTGAATTCTCTGATTTTGAGTCAGTGAATGGACCATTAAAAGCCTATGCAGTAATGATCACAACAGAAGAACAAAGTAAGATGTTATGATATTCTCTTGTAGCTGTGTGAAACAATTTATCAGACAGCATTATGTTTTAAACTGTAAATAGGTGTTAAATGGTTAGAGAAAAAGCTGACAGTATTTTTCAATCACCTTTCAAAAATTGAGGCAAATACCTTGCTTGCTTGAAGTCAGATCACTCCTTGTTTTCAGAAAGCCACTGTTTTCATTCAGCCTTTTCCAGCCTGATTTATCCTTCTATATGTCTCATATGTATTGCCACTGTGCTGTTGCCATCTTGATTTGCCAGTGATTCCTGCCACAAGATTGTGTAGTATCCTTTTTTTATCCCACAGAATAATTTTCAGAGCTACTAATATAAGCAGCTTTGGAATGTATATCTTCAGCTGGAAAATATCTGCAGTAAGATCTTTAAAAAAAAAAAAAGAGTGCTTTCCTTCTGATTTTACTTAAAATACTTTATTAACTGAGAGAGATGGGGTGCAGGTGGAAGACTTGAATAGCATTGTCAGCATTACATGCCATGGGAGGTTGAATGCCAGGGAAAACTAGAGGGTAGTCTATCAAACTCATCTCTTTAAAGCATCAAAACAGAGAAGCGTCTTTAACTGGTGAATGTCTAGTGATAAATCATAAAATTAAGGAACTTACCTTTGCAGTGTAGGTTCTAGTTGAACTTCTTTTCTTTTCTGCCAGTGCACTGGAGGAATAAAGCAGCTGATGGAGATAGTTTTCCCCCAAGTGGGATTTGATATCCATGCTTATTCTTTGTCTTAACACTGGAAATTCATCTTGCAGCAGTTTGACTGTAGATCTTTCTTCTGTGGTTTTCCATACAATATATGTCCAAGAAATGCCCGGATATATATATAATGTAGTACATCAGTGCAGAAAATTCCTATTTTTCACATGCCTACTCAGCTGCACCAGAGTTGCTGGTTTGCATGTCACTCTTGCACACAGCAACAGCTCTGCTTGTACCTTCAGCCAGTCCTGTTTAGTCTTGATGAGATTCAGTGCGTTCTTCTGTGTAGTTTTGATTGCAAGATATTCAAGAAAGACGACTTTCAAGGTGTGATTGGGAGAAATAAGGAAGGAAGATCGCCTGTATGTATAATACAGAGTCTGAATGTTTTGATAGGAGCAGAAAATCATCCTTATGGCCAAGCATTGCTTCAGCTTTATAGTGTTGAAATAGCCTTAATATGTTTGAGATGTGTTTCTCTGTCTTAAAACAGACATCATTACCTTTAGGATAGACAGAGGGGACTTTAGTTGTGTAAGCGATGGTGTCTAAGGCTGTTTGAGATGTCCTAGGGTGATGTCCAAGACATCCACAAGGAGCTGCAGTTATAACCCGGGATGTACATCCTTTTGGAATGGAAACTAAGGACCAAACAAGACATATAACGTATGTCAGGTAGTATTGAACACCCATTTCTAGGCAACTGAGTTAACTGCAACCTCAACTGCTTTTAATGTAACCAAACTAGTGCTTTAGAAGAGCTGTCTTGCACCCTGTTCCTGCACAGTTATGGTTGATGAGAGCTTCACTGCTGGTGGCAGTGAGCCACCAGCTCACTGGTGGCAGATCAAACCTTGTCTACGCAACTGTAGAAAATTTACTAGAGCTTTTCCACCTTTCAGAGCTCCTGCAAGGCTTCTCCTTTTTAAAGGTGAATTCAATACTGTATCTGCTTTTAGAAGGAGCTTTTAGCTTTGTAAAGGCAGTCAGTCAGAGAGCAATATATGCAAACTTCAGTCAAATGAGCAAGATTCTTTTTCCTCCCATAACACTTTGAATATTTACATCAGTTTACTTGCTCTTGAGTTGTTGGATAACTGGTAATTTGAGCTGCTTTATTACCTCTTAGGTCACATGTGCCTCAACTGTATAATCTGCCTCAAGTTTCTAGGGTTCATCTTCTTAAAACAGACACTGTAAAGTGATGCTGTTCTGCAGATGGTGTCCTGTTGGTCACTGTTTGACTGCGATAGCATGTTCTTCTTAGTCTTCTGGAAGAGAAACTGTTCTGATCACTGGTTTGTCCAACGCTTGTCTATGTCAAGAAAAGGCAGAAACTAACTCCTTTGTCTCTTAGGGTTTAGGTCTGAGACTTCTTGTAAGACACAGCAAGGAAGTATAGGTCAGGACGAGTTTAGTGTCACCCTGAATGAGCCTTGATGCTGTTTGGGTAGCACAATGTTAACAAATACCAATTGACTACTTATACACTGTTTGCATTATACTCTCTACATATGATAGTTGATAGAGTGCGTATGGATATGAGTGACTTGTCTAGTGAAGTTTGTCCACGAGGATACTACTAATGTACCTTTACAGAGAAGCTTCACTGTACATGGTAGAAGTAAAACCAAAAGGAGATTAAAACAAATAACATTGGGGAGTAGGGAGGTAGTTCAGTAGATTGCACTGCAGTAGAAGAGATTTCTGAGATTGTGTGTTGCACTCAGCCTTTCATTTTGGGCAGTATTTATGGAGTAATGACAATTGTGGTTAATGTGACACACTGTATTACCACTTCAGCCACTGTGCTGATTGATACAAAATCAGCAGATGATGTATACCACATATAGCCTTGTTTTTTCCTGAAGGTTGTGAGTCTTTGAAGTCTGAATTGAACAACACGTACAAAGATTTCAAGAAGAAGATGACAGTCGCCTATGTAACATATGTTATAGATACAGAGCAAACAAAATCACCTTCTTTCCATTCTCAGAATGGTACAAACATCGTTAATGTAGGCAAGGGAAACACAATGTATGGCTACGAAAATGGACCATTGATTCCACTTCATTCATACAGGTATTTATGTCAAACTGCTGTTTGTTAATTTTGCTGCAGTTGAAATCTAAAATCATCTAATGAAAAGGTTACAGATCTTGCTTAAGGCTGTTAAAACTATCTAATGCACCTGTGTTTTTTTTTTTCTCCCTTATCAACAGGGCAAGTGTTGCAGGTTTCACTAATATAACCTTTACTATGGCCAACATCATTGTGGGGGAAGATAGTTATGTATCGTTTTCACCCTGTTCTAAGGCGGTTTTGCTACCCCAGGATCCAGGTATAGTTAATGTCAAATATAGGACTGGCGGCTTGGCGCACATACACTGTGTGGAGATCCCTTAATTGTAGCAAGTTTCATAATAGCAAAACAGCCATTGGTTTCCCTGTGATGGACTGTTCCTTTCTAGCTTTGCAGTGACACTGCTCTGTAAATTCATACCTTGCTAGTTCTGCGGGTGACCTCTTTTTTCCATGTGTGACTTCCACTATGGAAGTAACCAAAAGCTGTGCCACTTATGGCATGTTAAAAGGAATTGGATGGCACAGTGAGACTTTGGTACAGAAACAAGTAGCAAAAAGCAGCTGATGTTCTAACGGTTCTGGTAAATTAGAAGCGGGTGTGTTGGAATGTAAATACTGGTCCTTTGATCCCAATTTTTTATTAATTTATCATCCTTGTGTTGTTATTCCTAATGAGCTTTCAATACTGGTACTGCCAAAGGACACAGTAAAGAAAAGATCTTTTAGTAGAGTGGAGTGTGTTCTGTGACTTGTGAGGTTCTCTTGTAGCATGTTGATTGAGTTAGATCATTACCAAAGAGGTAAATCAATAATGAGTAATACTTGTTCTCTTTTATCAGGTGTTATTGCTGGAGCTGTTATTGGATGCCTTTTAGCTATATTGGCTGTAGTTGCTATAGGGGGTTTCATATTTTGGAGAAGGAGAAGGTAATGTGTGTTCGTTACTGTATTTGTTGTGATGAGGAGCACCAGTATTTCACTTCTGTATCTTTCTCCTAAAAAGGCCTCTCTTTCTGTTTTAGAATCGTAGAATCATTTGGGTTGGAAGGGACCTCTAAAGGTCATCT